GAGCTTCAGTTCCTCTCTCTCCCTCTGCACGCACCAAACTATTTCAACTCCCTCCTACTTCTCTTGTTCCTTGATCTTCAGTAATATTATTTTTTGTCACCTCTCTCCATCCTACTCCCTTGAGAAATGTGCAGTTGTTGTCCACTTCACTCTAGTGGGTCCACTAACACAGCTGCCCCTCCAATCTAGGCAACTAATCTCTTCTGTTTCAACCATTGACACTTACTCCTTTATCACCACATAGTCTATCATTAATCTATTATCTCATTGTATTCCATCACCATCATCATCATCATCATCACAAATCAGTATGACTTTCAATTGCAAGATATTATGGAACTGTTATAATATTATACTGTGCCAGTCTCTCCTCTCCCTTGAACATCTGCTCCCTAGTCTGGTGCTAACATTTATGTCCCTTTGTTCACTTCGCACCTTGCTAAAGGCCATGGGAGGCACTCAAACTCTAAATATTAATCAATTTGCCAGATGTTTACAGAAGCCTTATGAACCCTGTAGATTAGTAAAATTCGTAGGCGGGGTTAAAATCTTATCAGAATTTAATTCTTCGGTCTAATAGTCACCTTCAGTGTATATCCCATCAACACACAAATATTTAGGTTCAGCCATTAAACATTTTAATTTCAGTTCCATTATAGGTGCAAGACACTCAGTCAGATTTATTCCAGATTTATTCCAGAAATTATTCCAGATTTATTCCAGATTGACAGCCCACTCTGCCTTTGCCCAAACACTTCTGAATACACCTTCGCCATCTTGAGGTTTGAGCACATGATTAGTGTTAAAATGGGGTTAAACACGGGCTGCCTAGTGAGAGAAGTTACAGGGACAATGGGCCGGAGGTGGTAAACCGAGGGACTTACTCGCTAGGAGTAGTTCAAAGGTTTTTTAATCTTTTAATCGGCCAGTGATTACACACATATTCGCAATGCACCATGTGTTTCTTCATACGATGCACATATGGAGTCTATGGTACCAGGATTTCACAGAAATCTCATTCCCATTCCACCACCCCTGCTCCGCCCTCTTTTGTTAGTGTTGGACACTGCGTGAAGGCTGGGGAAGAAGAGAGAGAGAGAGAGAGGCAGGGTGTGGAGGTTAAAACATTGAGACTCTTTTTAAGGATTGGGTAGAAGCACAACAAGATGGTGGACGAAGAGCCACCGCGCAAAGTAAGTGAGGGGAGGGAAAATAGTAAGTGTGGCCATTAAAACACCTGTAACTGTGGAATGCCCAACAATTTCCAAGATTATGGGTCATCAGCCACAGGAACCTCCATCTCTGAAGGTAGGAGTCACCTGCATAGAGAGACAATCCTAATGAGTGTTTCCCAACGATTTATATTGCGAACCATGCCATTTTCCCCATTGGCCGGAAAAACACTAGCAGTGAGGATGCCCACTTTCCGTGATAGGTTCCATATTGACACACAAATATTTACACACACCAACGGAGTATACTTGCAGACTGCAGCAATGAGAATATCCCAACATCGACATCTGGCCCTGAGTTCTCACTAGAAGATCAACAAACTTCCTCACAGAAATGCCCCAGGCGGTCCTTCACAACTGAGCGACAGTTTATGTCACCTCCCTTCTCTCCCTCCATCACCACTGACGTAGCTATGGTAACACTTGTGCTGCACGAGGAAGACGACAAGTCAAAAATGAAGACAAAGAGAGAGAGAGAAGAGAGAGAGAAGAGAGAGAGAACCCTAGATAGTCCTCTCGCACGTAGGCTTTCGGTCTCTGAAGGATGGCGAAAAGTGAGATGGACCACTTCAGGCCTTCACGCCGAGCCACGCCTCTTTTCCGCGCATAGCTAGCGCTGCATGTACTAGAGTCACACATGCCTCAGGATTATTAATGAGCAAATACAAGGCCTTGTTATACACAATGTGGACTTCTTCCATGTGGATATGAACAGAGAGACACTGGTATTTTGTTTAACATGGAAGTTGACATAGTAGGCATGGCGAGCACAACACGCCCCACCTGTCAACGATAGCACATTCACATTGAACCACACCCTTGGAGGAATCGCAGGAAGTTTATCGGGGAAGGGAAGCCGAGCAAGTCCGTGTACACAGAGCGGAACAGAATCGGACACAGTCCGAGGCCGTGCTTGGAGCCTCGTAACTCGACACATATAGACACAGACGACTTGCTGACAGGTGACACGTGGGGGTCAGTATGGGTTCACCTGGTTCTGGTCCTAATCCCATCTGCCGACAGATGGAATGGCACTTCTCGGATGCAGCAGGACTCACGTGGCCTAATCAACGAACACTGCTCTGAGCAAAATCAAGAGACCTGGAGAAGATGCCGGACGTGGACTACAGTTATAGGAAACCCCTAAAGTAATCCAGCACCAGTGGGACAGAAGAATGTCAATATTAGTTTAGAAGGTGTCAGGGGTTTTGTGACATAAATGGCAAGAACTGTCATATCTTGGAGAAAGCCCAGGTTGTCCTATAGAGAGAGGTATGCAACAATACATCCTATCCCATTTCAATGGGTGTCACTTAGAGAAGGGGTTTACCACTACATTCCCCTAGTTTTCAGGTAACGTCCTGAAACAATGTGTGCTCCTATATAGATAGTGACCAGAAGGGGTCCCCATAGCACCATTAATGTCCCCACTGGAAGACAGTCCCCGCTACCCCATGAGCTCTTGGTGTAGTCCCAACTTAAAAGCACAGCGGCAGAAACACCCAAAAATAATTCAATAGATACACGCACATGACTCCATAAAAATCCTCCAACTCAACCAACCACCGCCTGGCATCTGTCACCAGGTACTGCGACAACTGAGGGACACGGGTCACAAGGTTATGATTCGTTAAAAAATTGTTCCACGGACAGGAACATTCTCAAGTCGACTTCCACCAGGTACTATCTAATACGATCACACACTTTCCCATGATCCGAAATCTCAGAATTGTAAAATCATGAAAATATTACACCAGACCTAACCTTTGTAGCTAGGCGTAAGAGATCTTTGCCCTCACTGTAGTTTGGTCCACACCGCCACCCTGAGGGCACTTAAGGGTTCCAGCCCCATGCCATCTACACATGAAAACCCAGTCGCGACCTCGTCCCGATTCCGTATCCACAGGCCTGGGCGACGTCCCGACGCTCGAGACGAGACTCAATGTCTGAGATGAAGGCTGTGACGAGGACGCTGACAGTGGGTGGGAAAAGGTTTAAATATAGTTATTAGTTGGCGAAGAAGACACACAAGGAAAAAAGACACATCCGACAATCTTCTCCGGAGCTTTCGTTCAGAATAGTCAACTTTAGTCCCTACACAATTAGGAGACACTAATAGAACATAATTCGTCCAGGACAGAGATTAATGGTTTTGTTGGGGCAGAAGTTGAATAATACCAACCATGAGAGCAGTAAGAGACTTTGGCGAAAATTTGACACGGCATGTGAATTAGTGCTCATAACAATAAGCAGCAGCATGGCCCAGCACTCGATGACTCCTTACGAACAACAAACAACAACACAACAATACTACAAACACAAACAAACACACACAAACACTAAATACAAACAAACACAAACTCACGAAGCAACATCATGGTGAAGCCTCTAGACACAGCACAAACTCTCCGTCAGTCTCCTTTCTCTATGCTCTCCACCATCTGATGCAAGCCACCCTAAAGTCAGTTGTTAGCAATGGAATGTGATCACCACGAAAAAGACCGTCACATGATATATTCCAACGACATGATCGATTTGAATACAGCCACGTTGACTAACACGGGAGGACTCGTCCGAACTCCGGGACAACGAGCACAACGGCCCACCTTGAGACGAGGCAAAATATGATTGATACACAAGCGTACTTAAGGGGAGTATGACAGTAAAGGGCCACGCAGCACATATCAGCGACACCGGAGATGGCAATCCTGCTTGCCCTTGCAGTCCCATGTGATGACACAGGACACAGAGATGATCACAACATGATCATCACCACGTGAGTATGAGGCTTGTCCCCACGAAACTGGTCTATCCAGTGACAGACAAGACAGGAACCCCTGTTTTTTTCTCTAAATTGGTAAAGATGAGAATCAAACAACTACAATTTTGAAGGGCCATCCCATCTGCTATCCCGTTAATTCACACACTCACATACAATGATAACAATTTTATTCAAATTCACATTTCAAATATCCTACACATATCCTAATTTAAAATACCACTGAGACCCTGCACTCCTCATGTGGGAACCACGACCTCTCACTCTCCTCGACCCCTGCATACGGCAGCTTCCCGAAGGTGTCTGTTCTCACCGGAGAAACACGGAGATAATCCGGAAAAAGACTGAGGGACATAAGATAAGTATGTACCACCAACGCAGGGACCTCTCCGCGACGAACATCTGAAACCTCTCGTATGGCAGTGGCCTCGCAAAAATCGGAAGTCGAACTGGACGTGGAATTGTTTATTTTTACGAGAACTCCACGTCCCAGGTCACGCAATCTTCTCTCCAGGGGTTGTGTCCGCTGGGAGGAAAATCAGCGGCATGGGGTTTTAAACCATAGCTAGAGAAATAATTAACCAGAATTATAACCAAACAATAGGGTTATAAAACCTTTAACCTGATGTGTTGATTTAACCCAACTTACAAACCAAAAATTACCATACATATGACCAGTCCACAATTGCTAGTTTCTTACTTGCTGCAACCGTGATTTGAGCCTGAGTGTAATGCCCAGCACAGCTCGACGGTGTAGAAAGCCCCGTACGTTAAGCAGAGGTAAGAGTGGGTCAGTTCCCCTATAGCGGACGAGAGAAGTTCGCGGCGACCCCAGAGGAGGCACAGTGGTCACATCCCAGCTAATCTCAATACACGACGCACCGTGGCCCAGTGGCCATGGTACACAACGGATGTCGGGGTGGTCGCACAAGATGGTCCCTCTAGCAGAGTCCACCTATATCAACAAACCTAATCCACCCACCACATGATCAGAACATCTGGTCCTTTGACCCTCCAGTCTGCCAGATTTGGCCCGTTCCTCCGTTATGTTGGAGGAAATGTTTTGTCTTCAACAGCAGCCCAGCAGGATGACTGTGTTCTGAATCGCCATTCCTGAGGAGGAGTGGAGGAGTGTGATTATTGAAATGAAACAGGGTCATACCCACGACTGCATTGAGAGCCTTCTGCCAGTAAGTCTGGCCGTCCCAACTGCCAATAGGCATTAGCCATCCAGTCGCAGCGTTCTCGCCTGCAGACAATTGCCACTCCACTCTCTCTCATCTCTCCTTTCAAACTCACACCATCAAAATGTTGTACTTAGTTTCGTCAAAAAGTAGAGCTACGTATAAATTTACCTGTTGACAGCTCCAACTGTGGACACACTCTGCCTATTTCGTACACTCCTCTCTACACGGAGAGGGAGGAGGGTGGAGTGGAGGAGATACAGGAGAGCAGGAGGGAGGAGAGGGAGGAGGGAGTGTATATAGGGAGAAGAGGTAGAGAAAGTTGAGACACCTGACAGAGGAACAAGAATGGAGACAAAACTGACAAAGAAACAAGAGGAGACTGACTTGAGAAGGTGACGCTGTGTTTGTAAGAGGTCTTCTTGGTACAGATCCAGTCCAAGATTGTAAGCACAGCATTGCCAGGTAGCCTGACCTGTGGAGAGACATTGACATGTATTTCTATCATCTCTCCTGTTACCTAGAATTTTGTTTTGGTCAAATGTACTGCACTCTTCTCTACTCTATCACATGATTGAGGATTGTTTGGTTGGCCTGTCCATCTCCTTATTAGCCAAAGTACGAACATAAACACCAACCCCTCACTCTCCAATGCGTGAAGCATCTCTCTGGCCCTTTGGAGAAGTTCCATGGCTGTCTCCAGCTTCTCCTGACCCACTGGCTGCAGTTAACGATGGGAAAACCCTCTCCTTGATGACGCATCAGTAGTTGCCATGCTTACGCTTTCAGCTCTAAAGCAGAGGAGTTTGAAATGTCTTAGCGACAGATTCTTACGCGTGACGAGGATGAAAATGAGCTCTCAGCTTCCCACACTGGAATGGAGGAATAGGGGTATATGGGTATGGGGAATGGGGAATGGAACTGGACCTCAGTGGCTAGTATAAGTGAAGTGGTCAGCCATTGAGTGATTCTCGCAGTCTTTAGAGCCGAAAGAGAGGAACAGAAAAGGCAAGAGGAGGAAAATAAAAGTAAGATAAGAAGTAGAGGAGCAGGGCTCCACCAAGCCAGCTCTGTGCCAGTCTTTGTCGCCATCTTAGTAGTTTAAGGAATGAAACAGGTTCACGAACACAGTCAGTCCCAGTTGCCAGCAGGTAGAACGAGAGAGAGGAGCTTACTGTCATTTGTTTGATGAAGACACTGGGTGAGTGTAGAGCGTTACAGAGAGAACCAGACTGCAGGCCCACGTGTCTCACTGCAGAGCACACCCAACACTACTCCCATTCCCATACTGTCATACTGCCATACTCTGGGCATTCAGCTCAGACTAATGCTCCCTGCTGCCTGAGGCCACCGATCTGTGTAGTGAGAAGATCAATAAAGACATGTGGCAACACTAAACGAATCTGAATTATAAGAAGTATTTGCACCAGTGCACTAAGGTGAAACTTAATTGCATGCAGCTCCAGTTTCTATGTAAAGAGGTAAATTCTGGGTATAGATCATGTAAAAATGGCTGCACATTATTATACTGCATTAAAAACATTCCCACGCATGGAGAGTACAAATGATGTATTGGAGAACAATACACAAAGTCGGAAAGAAGATGAGGCTGCAGTACTAGTATATACCTTGTCCAGAGAGCTATTGCGGAGAGTTGGAGCTGGTCTGACAGAGCCACTCCTGCTGGCGGTCCTCTCTGGTCCAGAGTCGGTAGCTCTGGCAACTGCTGGAGTGCCGCATCAGCAGTCACCTCACCCAGCTGCTGGTCGTCATGACTATCACCATGCTCTTACAGACATTCCGCCAACAAAAAGCAAAGTATAGCTTGGACTACACCGTCCGGGAGATTTTAGCAACAAATATCTACTCGCTTGGTTTCTTGCACATTCTTATGATTGTGGGAGAGCTAAACCGCAATGAGGGAGCAGCTGAAACTGAGAGTCGCCCTTTGAATTTAGATACACGCTTGCATGTTCAGCTTGCAAACATGATCACGTAGGTAATTTGCATGTCGCCGCCGTTACTGTGGTGGTTAATATTACGAGCATCTCCAACCGCGTCATTAGGACTAAACCTTGCAGTTTCGAGTGCGCTGCAGAAAGAACTCCCCTCCATCTTCCCACTCTAGCATGTCGTCGTCGGCTGCAAACTGAACTCTCGATCTTCTCATCTCACACGCTCGCTCGCTTGTACGCATGCGCGTAAATCAGCAAAACAAACCGCGTTGAGTATACAAACAATGAGAGATGTCGAATACCGGGAGTATACGGAGTTCAGGCATTGCCATACTGAGGACCAGAGGACCAGTGGTCGCTCAGGCAGACCTCTGACCTCACACGACACAGTTGCACACAGTCTTTCCATGAGTCCCTCTGGGATAGTACGACGTCGTCCAGTCTCCTGGGAAGGATAGGGGGAAGGGGAGAGAGGAGAGCGAAGCGGAGGAAGATATTGTATCACACACTCTTTGGTGTGGCATTAATGTATTTGTGGCCTGGCAGTACGACTGCATACTTCAGTGATCTCAATCTCAGTGAATATCCAAAAATCTCGCCACTTCCGACATTTAGAATACGACACCATGATCACAGTCTGGAACATATCATAATTATACGTACCAGCCAATGTGTCTTAAGGCGCGAGCATTGAAAAGCGATAGGACCAGTAGACTGAAGGCCTCGAGTGGTATTGGGATGGAGGTGACGGAGGAGTCCGCGCGACCCCCTCCCCCAGGAGGGCAGTGAACCCATCCTCTCCTGCTGAGTGAAGAGCTGCCGTCCTTAGTGTTGTTCTGTCCTTGGTGTCCTTCAGGATCATGCACAACAACAGAACAACACACAGCACTACTTCATCTCTCTCTCTCCGGTTAAATTTTTCGAAGGAGGTGATTTACTCTCACAGATGAAAATGGCTCGACTGCTCCCATATGACATTTGGCTTGCTCACTTACGATGCTGTTCTCCATCGCTCTCTCGATCTCCTCTCTCTCCTCTCTCATCCTCTCTCTCCTCTCTCTTCCTCGTCCTCTCTCTCTCTCTCTTCCTCTCTCTTCCCACAACACTCACTCCTCACATCTCACTCTCTCTCCTCCCCCGATATTCCTTGTGAGCGACGTTTAGGTACTCCGCACAGAATGAGTGGGTCTATCTGGAATCCGATGTTTCTCCCAGAGAATTCTCTGAAATCTCTGTCACGTTTTCTTGTCTGTCTGTAGTCACCCAGCCTCCTTCAGACGCTTCCGACATTTGGTACATCTAACACACGACACACACACACATCCCACAGACACACTACACACCACACACACAGAGAGAGAGGTAGTACAAGGTAACCCTCTGAAATAATTGGACACCTTGGGAACATCGAACGTGTCCTTTAATTAGAGGTTGCTCGTGTATTAGAGGTAGTACAAATGATGACTGACACAGTGGGAAACAGTGCATTCTCCACGGCAGCTGGTGAAAGATGGTGAAAGATGGTGAAAGAGATACTCACAGGCAGTGATGAGATAGAATGTCTCAAACTCGCAAGTGATGAGTCTTCCCTCCTTGTCGTGCTCCTCTATCCCCATTCCATACGTCACTTCAGAGGCTTTTCTCATTTCGTGTACCAGCCTACTAGTCCAACAGTGGGAGCCTTCTTACGAATAATTATATATAGAAGTAGGAACCAATGTAAAGTTTCTTGCTCACAAAAGAGTGCCACTAGAATAAAAAGAAAAAGCACACACGAAAACAAGAAAAGGTGCCACTAGAAAGATGCACTAGAAAAGGTGCCACTAGAACAGGTGCCACTAGAAAAGTGCCCACTAGAAAAATGGTGCCACTAGAAAAGGTGCCACTAGAAAATGGCACTAAAAGTCCACTAGAAAAGGTGCCACTAGAAAAGGTGCCACTAGAAAAGGTGCCACTAGAAAAGGTGCCACTAGAAAAGGTGCCACTAGAAAAGGTGCCACTAGAAAAGGTGCCACTAGAAAAGGTGCCACTAGAAACGGTGCCACTAGAAAGGTGCCACTAGAAAAGGTGCCACTAGAAAAGGTGCCACTAGAAAAGGTGCCACTAGAAAAGGTGCCACTAGAAAAGGTGCCACTAGAAAAGGTGCCACTAGAAAAGGTGCCACTAGAAAAGGTGCCACTAGAAAACGGTGCCACTAGAAAAGATGCCACTAAGCCTCCAAGTTTCTCCGCGATACACAACACACCACACTGATAACTGACCCTGTCCCACTGTAGCCTGGTTTAATGGCTGAACTCCAGTAGGTGTGGTAACCGTCTACTTTCAGCTGCTCCTGTAGGCAGCCCCATTAGAACTGAAATTACAGGGGCACCCCCTCAATAACATTACCTTTGGAAGGGCATCCTCTGCACATTTAATTTCTTGTAGGCAGAATATATCTGGTGCTTCGTGGGTTAAATATTCAAATCCACCATTCTGGTGTGGAAAGGGTTAAAACACAAATTTGTCTTGAAATCTGTGTGCATATACAGTATACCTTCAGCCAGGCTCTCACTCCATTGACGTTCCACGAGCTGAACTTGATGTTCCATGCCCTGTTGGGATCACATGATCCAGTCACATGACCAGGTAGAGAGGTCACATGACATTACATCACCTGTCGTCAGAGGTGTGTCCGAGATCATTCCAGGCTACACTGGACCAATCTGTCACCTTGAGACGGTTAGGAGCAGAGGCAATAGATATCGCCGCTCCGTCTGTACCTTCTGGCAGTGGGGAATGAAGGAGGGGGAAATTACTACTTACTAGTAGCACCACTAACTATCAAATTTATATACGCCATTATCACATTCGGTGCACTAAATAATTATGCCAAACACAGCATGTTGACACAGTAAGCTAAACATCAACAACATTAGACATTACTGGACAAATTGTCGACATCACACCCATGAACACATATGTACCACACCTGACGATTTCTTTGTCCTTGGCTTCTTGGCTGGTGCCTCAGTTGCGCCCCCATCTCCTCCTTCCCCTACACACTACTTACATACACCCTGTGTTATCTCACATTATATAATACTGGCATTACCGCTCTTCGCTCTCTTCCCACCCCTCACCACCCTCTTTTTCTTGGGAGACTGCTGGAGAGAGGGTTGCTCGATAAATTATAGCATCTTGTGGGGATCACGTGCTCACCTCCTCCGCCGGCTGCTCCTTCTTCTCCACCTCCTTCTCTCCATTTTTGTCTGAGATCTGCTGTTGAAGAGAACACGTGACTTACACGTGAGATAGCTCTAGGGAAAAGGTAGGAACTTGCCTCCTCCGATCCAGCATTGGTAGCCATGCCTGAGGTGCAGAAACAGCAGCAAAACCTGTCTCTAGCTCTTAGCCCAGCAGCCCGCGTGAACACGAGAATGGGGGAAACCCTGCAAATCATTTCATCATCTGCGCATGCGTATATAGCTATAATACGTGAGGGAGATGTCTACTGCTGTCGTCATATCGGTCAACTACGGACCTCTACTGCTCATCTTCTCGGTCATACTCGTCTCTAAACTACTCCGCAGTGTTCTAACCCAGCTCTCCTCCTGGGTAGGGTCGCTTGCACAATCCGACAACGGGACGTCCCCCATTGCAATCCGGCCATTGTTCCCCCTTCTTGTTTTCAGGCTCTGCGGCATGTGGTGCCACTACCTGCATGTTTGGGGCGGACAAGAAGTGAACTGGCCCACCTGAAGAGGGAAATTGCAGCTGTGAGCATCGCTGTAAGCTATGCCCCAACTCCATAGAGTAAGTTTGAAAGACTGGATTGTCCGTTTTCACAAAGGATGATTTCGCGGTACATTCGAGACTGAAACGACAGCAGATCACCAAGGAGACAGAGCTGAGTATGATTGGTATGTCCACGAAGCCAAACAGCCTTCAAATCTGATGCTTGTCTCGGTTTCTTTACCCCACCCACCTCAGAGGGGGAATATCGAAACACTATTCTCAAGAAACAGGCTTTAGTGGAAGCACTGGCAACTATTTTGCTGGTAATTCTACTCTTGGTAACATCATTTGGTGAACAGTTTACAAATTTTATTACAACATTCTATATATCAGGAGTTGCTACCGATTATGGTGGTAATTTACTGGAGGAGTGTGCCAGTTGTTGTACTGCCTGAACACACCATGTGGCCCCTCGGTGGGGTGGTCCGGTTCCCAACCCAGACGGCAGGTGTGCTCCATTCCATTCCACACCACCAGTAGTCAACAATGTGTGTGTGTGTGTATATACAGGTGGTGTGGGTTCTCCGATATGGGCACTGTGTTCCCGGCAAGGCCTGCGAGCTCTTGCTACCTTACTCTCTAAAAAATGACACTGCCAATCAATAGCCAATTTCCTTCGCTTCCAGTTTGAAATGTTATTTGAACTATACAATATGTGGACTGAGGAAGAACACTTTCGTCTCTCAGTCTCACTTCCTCCAAAAATAAAGCAGGTTTTCGTTCCCTGCTCTCATCCTCATGTCGTGCATAATATCGTCGTCGTACATTTGAATATGTGTTATGGTACAGAGGACGTTGGTGTTGATGTGAGTTCTACTATAATATACAACAGAATGAGAATACAAAAATTAGAAGAGGGCTAGGCTGCTACAAAAGAGGCACGGGGTGAGTGAGGTGTGCAGCTAGGGGCAAAACGCCACTAGTTTTGTGGGTCAACTCAAGGGTCAGGGGTCAGGGGTGTACGAACTATCGGAGGAATCCCCTTGTTCTTTGCCGGGCAGCTGCACAGTAGACGGAGCCGCCCGGCGTTCCTTCTCCTGCAGAACTCCGTTTCTTGACACGAGGGACGCAATGTTTCCCCCCGCTTCCCCATCACTGCTCGATGCTTCAAACGAGACCAGATGGAACTCTGGCACTGGCTCCGTCTCGGTTGCTTTCTTCCGCCGTGGTGCAGGGTCCTCTTTCGGCTTTTCCACTTTCTTTGGCCGACCCCTCTTTCGTTTCGGTGGCTGTGTTGGAGCTTCTTTGGTCTGTGGTGGATCTACTTTGGCCTGTTTCGCAGGCGACGGTCCATTGGTATCACGGACAGTGTTCTTTTTCGGTCGACCCCTCTTTCGCTTCGGTGGTTGTTCGGTTTGACCATCCATAGTCTCTTTTGGTACATCCACAGTGGTCTTTGTCTCTTTTGGCACGTCCACAGTGGTCTTGGTCTCTTTTGGCACGTCCACAGTGGTCTTGGTCTCTTTTGGCACATCCACAGTGGTCTTGGTCTTGGTCTCTGTGGCAACAACCTTCTTTGGTCGACCTCTCTTCCTCTTTACGGGAGGAGTGTCACTAGCTTTAGCAACTGACTGTTTGTCCTGTGCGTTTGTGGCAGCTGGTTTCTGGGCGCCGTCTGTACCCTCGGTTTTCGCCTCCATCTTCTTCGGCGGTGCGGCAGCAGCCACAGCTGGCACCTTCTTGGGTCGCCCCCTCTTTCTTTTCACAGGGCTCGGCGGAGCCTCGCTTGGCGCCTGCTGCGGTGGAGCCTCGGAGCTAGCTGCCGTCTCCCTGGCTTGCCTTCTCGCTGTTCTTTTAGTGTTAACGTCTGTGGCGGCCGCGGCTTCGGGTTCGGGGAGTTGTTCGCCAGCTGGCACTGGGTTCTTCTTCGGCCTCCCGCGACCTCTCTTAGGGGTGTTCTGGTCTGGCGGTGAGTGCTTCCTCGGCCTGCCCCGTCCTCTCTTTGGCTTGCTGGGCTCCTTGGGCGGTTTTGGCGCGTTTTCTTTCTCGCTCGGAGCCGAAGCCGCGGGCGCTTTCGGCCTGCTGGCAAAGGGATCTTCAAGGTGAGCGAGGGAGGAGAAAGAGTCGGAATCCACCACGGGAGAGGCGACGGGCGAGTCGAGATGCGCCATTTTTTGCCACACCAAAAGAAACGAGCGCGAGAGTTGCTAGTCTATATACGCTAAAATAATACACGTGTATAGGGAATGGGCGTGGTTTAATTCAAAATGCCATCTCTCCTAAGTACTACAGTACTAGTTCTTCGATGTCGTCTGGTTCAGAAATAACAGCTCCTGGCATGACGTCATGACTTCTCATAGCTGTAGTGTCCACCTTGGGTCGCCGCGGTAGCAAACCACCTCTGCTAATTGAAGGGGAGGCCTCAGGAATAAAGTGTTCGGTTGTAATCACTTCTGCTAGAGGTGGGTGTGGCTTATGGTTGGGGGTGGAGTCTGTGTAATTGGGTCTAGTAGCTCTGCGACCGAATGAAGGATTATACCCAGTTTTCCTCTCTTCTCCTTGAGTCAGAGCCTTCCCCGGTTCCGTCAGAAATGTGTTCTCCAAACCCCTCTCCCTTACTCCACTCCCTCCCCTCCTCCCTCCCTCCCTCCTTCTCCCACTCAGTCTGCTCTGGGAACCAAAGGGGTCGTCCTCTGAGGCGTGCGCTGGTCGTCCCTGATGCATGTTCTCAACCACATCAGGCCAGGAGTTGAGTGAGGCATTGCTGCTGCCTTTGTTGGCTGGCGTCCCGACAGAATTGGCTCCTCTTGTGTTCTGTTGTGGGACTGATTCCACGTGATTGGGGTTGCCCCCTTCATCAATTGCCATTAGTTTAGCGAGAAGGAGCCTCTTTCTTTCTTGTTCGCGAGTGTCAACCTCAGTTGGAGGGGGTTCAGAGTGAGGTATAGCAGGAGGTGGTGGCTGACTGGTGGGAGGGGCTGACGTACGAACGGTGGACGGAGAGAGAGGGTTACTAGCTGGAGCTGTCTTCTGTCCGTCCAACAATCGCAGTCTCTGCAACAACTCTTCTTTCGATCTCTGAGCCTCAATTGTGGTGCTCTTTTCACCTACACCGTGAACGACTCCAGTTTTCTCTATTTGCAGTGTTGGCTTCTCTCCTTTAGCCTCGGTGTGGATTATGCTCATAGATGGTGTGTTTGTAGCAGCTACAGGTTTGATCTCTGGTGCCGCAGTCTGCGTGGAGCTGTCAGTTCTGTGAGAGAGACTGGCTACTTCAGTTTGTGAGGCAGCAGTCTTCACCTGGGAGCGGTGTTTCATGGACACTGACTTGAACGGTGGACAGGATAGTGTGGTCTGTGAGGATTGGTGAGTGACGCGGGGGAGGGGGGGAGTTGGGGGAGGAGAGGGTCTCGGGAGACTGCGAGGAATTCTCTGGGTGTAGATGTTCATCACTTCCATCTCTCTCGTCTTCTCCTGCAGACAGAGACGAGATAATAATGATCGATTGAGATCATGTTACGACAGGACCTCTTTACATTTTCTTTGGAGACACTGTTCTATGAAAGACACTTGTTTCCGGTTCAGTGTATCATTAAACCTCTGACTCAATACACCATATCACTATGGAGGCCTTCTACCAGTTAAACCTCTGAATATTAAGACAATTTGAAGGTCTAAGTGTGTCTGTAGGTTCCACTGGCAGTAAGTACCTTCAGGAGTGAGTGTAGGTTCTCGATGTTGTCCCTGAGAGAGACAGCCTCGCTGGCCAGGGCTCTGTTCCTGGCTCTCAGACCTTTCACCTCCTGGGCATGAGTCTTGCCACTTGTCTCCAACCCTCTCTCCAGATCCTGGGACCAAATACAAATAAATGTCAAATTCTTTGTGCAAGATCTTATGATGCACATATACCTCAGTGAAAACTTGGAAATAGGGAAACTTTGCACCTAAAACGAGACTTCTTGATAAAAAATTATACCAACTGATCCACAAATAATTCTCGCTGCACTCTGGAGGTGTGTCCTCACCGCGACTCTTTTCTCTTTCTCGGCCAGTTTCCCGGCGACGTGCTGGAGCTGATCCGTCAGCCTGTCTCTCTCCAGCAGTCTTGTCCTCCCCACCACCTCCTCCAGCTTGTGGTTGGCCTCAGAGAGCCTGCGTACCTCGTCTCCGAGCTCACCGGCCTTCCTCTGACCTGCCAGGACCTGGTCGTGGCTCTTCCTCAACTGCTGTCTCAGTGACTTCACCTGCAGACAGGGTCAACGGTACACTCTTTCAGAGGTTGCATTGGGTAACTAATATTTGAGGAGAAAACTTTCACGATTCAGTGGCAAATAAGAGTTTTAGTCCAGCAAGGAAGAACAATGTTAAATACTCACAAACTCTGCAGTGAAACGTGAAAAGGAGAAGCATTTGTCTCTCTACAGTATGTGAACCTCTTGCTCATGTCTGCTGAGAATGTGGGGTAGTTCGTCCTCCTGTCTCTGAATCCTGGTCCACTCTTTGTCTTGTTTCTTCTGGAGTCGTGTGAGGAGTCGGTTCTCCCTGCTCACCTCCTCCAGCTGCCTCTCTCGCTCCGCCAGCCTGTTCTGGAGCCCGCGCACCTTGTGGTTCATGGCGGAGAGCTGTCTGTCACGGGCCGGAGAGGCTCCCGTGGACCCCGCTTTCCCCGCGGGCTCCAGTCTCCGCGGTAGGAAAGACCGTCGACTCGATTGCTGGTCGCCAAACCCGCGTCTTCTCGTGGTGCTCACGGCCCCTGTGGACCTGCTCTTGCTCGGAGGGGGGCCCGCCAGACCGCGCTGTCTAATAGGAGTGGTGAACTTCTCCTCGCTGTACCTGTCTTCACCACCACGTCTTCCCCGTGTCTCTTGCAGTGCAGGCTGTTCCCGCCTCTTCCTCCTCGGTGGCGGACGACCACCGCCGACGTAAAGACTTCCAGCCAACGGCTTGGAGGAAGCAGCGGCTGCTGAACTGAGCTCTTCCTCCTCAAAATCATCTGCGTAGTCACTCTCGTATCGCTCCATGGCGAAAAGATTTTTTGACCGGCTGCGCACCTCGTGTTGTGATTTTTCTAGCAGTTGCCAAGACAACGCACTTTGATCCGGTATACAAAACAAACAAACACGCGTCATAATGATGTCATTGTATTGCTGCCACTGATTGTTCTTGTAGAGAGGTGAGTAGGGTGCTTGTCTGCAAATGGCAGGAGTGACTTCTTTGTCTCGCTCTCTTCCTGCTGCCATGTGTCTCACTACTGTCTAAAGGAGACAGTTCTGTCAGTGGTGGTAGTCTGAATGGTAGCTGTTGCTGAGAAGACTGCTCAGGTGGGGGGAGGGGCTGGGGTTCCCGAGGATGTTGTATAGTTCTCAGAGGAGGTAGCTGGAATGAGAGGGAGCGAGAACGGGGGAAAGGAGAGGGTGGTCTCGCCGAGGGGAAAGAGGAGCTGAGAACATCCAGTCGCTGTGGTCGGAGAGGCTGGTCAGCGGGAAACGAGGATTGTTCCACTGTAGCCTCTTGCTCTGCTGCAGCATAATCTGCTGTTCTTGTTGAATCTAGGAGTAGAGTGTAGCTCAGATCTGCTGAAGGTTGTCTTGAAACTTCAGCAGCTGCAGCTAAATCAATTTCCCCCTCCACCACCTCTCTACTGTGGCGGCGGCTGGTCCCACTCTCTCTCCTCTCTCTGCGTAACGAGCTCTCTAGGATAGAGCCTGGGGCCCGCCTCGGTTCCCTGCTGACTTGCCTCCTGCTCCACCGGTGGTCCGGGGTAGGAATCCACCCTAGTCGATTGGATAGAGTTCCGTCTCTTTGCCGGCGAAGGGCCCTGTCCTAGCATGAGCGTCACGTGCCCACTCAGAGGCAGTGGAGTGTAGGGAGGAGGAGAGGGCGAGGTACAGAAGGAAGATGACGGGTCCTGGGCGCTCTGTCCCATCCAATATCCGTCTACCAACGGCGGATAAAATTCTGCAAGAAATAGACACCCAAAATGTCACAAATCTTCCATGTGGCGGTGGAGATTACCTTGATGGAGACTGCCATCGTCTTCCACGATGACTCCTACTCGAGCCGGCGAGCGAGAAGTCCCGCAACCCATTCTCCTGCGGACGACGTCTCTGTGCTTGCGCAGCTGATGTTGTTTTTGCGCAGACGAGCTACGCCCACTTCTGCTAATTACAGGGACTGGACTCGTTTTCCCCACTTTTCCTTGTTCGCGCGATCGTGGGTAAAGAAAAGCGCGATGTCTCGCCTCTGTCGTGTCCTATTCTTCTTGTTCCTCGCTAGATCCCTTTCCGGACGCCTCTACCTGGCGCCTTCGGACAAGCTGACAGTTTCGGACGACTACGATCGGACACCCTACCCGAAGGAATCCGGACAGCCATTTGCCTACTGGGAAGTGAAAGGAACCGTAAACTCCACTGGTAGATCCTACACCGCTCACGTGGCCGTGTTATCCAAAGCCCTACCAAGCAGCTTCTCCTATGCATTACCACCTGGAGGTGAACTTGGACTATTTCAGGGGTTCTTACAAATTTACCCCCGGGGGCCCCCCCAGGTTGCTGCCATGCTACCAAGACATCACTCACAGCGAAGGCTCATGACTGTAAGTACGCCACTAATGCTGGTTACTTCGATGTGGACACTGGCAGCTGTATCGGGAACATCATCATCAACAGCACTGCAATTGAAGTGAGACCTGTCAATATATACATCAGTGAAACCTCTGAATATGGGATATTGAAAGTGTCATTTATTCAGAAACACCCCTCATTCAGAGGTATATAGAATATAGTGGGGCAGAGCAAAGAGAGGTGTCCTTTATTCAGAAGGTTTACAAATTACAAATGTTTTGCTGTGACAGTCTCTCTCTCTCTGATATCTCAACTGCAGTTGCCTGCCACAGCTAGAGCCAACTTTGGTCTGACGGCTGACTCATTCATCAGTGGATACCTCACTAACTCCACGATTCTCACTCTCGGTCTCACCAACTTGATCTCCGGGGCTGGCTGGATAGTCAGAAGGCAAGTATTAATTACCCTGGAGGAACCCCTCTAATCAGGACACCAATGAAAGTTTCTATAATTATTAGTGAGGTGGCATTCTGACAAAAAAACTTGTGCTTGCACCATCCTCCCTATCAAATTCAGAGGAATGTCATATGTGAACCAGAGTGTGAAGGAAGAAGAGATAAACGAAAGTTTTGTCATTCTCAAGGCTCCACGGACCGTCATCGGTGCCCATGGCAACGGATCTCTCTTCCTCGTTCAGGTATATACACAATCATCAATTAGTGGGTGTGGTCAATGATGTGTTGTCATGGGTACTGTTAGGTGGACGGTATAGAAGACCTAAAGGAAGGACTTGATCTTTACGAAATGGCAGACATCTTGATCAGCATGGGAATGAGCCAGGCAGTGGTATGGGAATGGGACACAGTCCGAGATACCAGCTAGTCTCTGTTCCATTCCGCTGACACAGAACCTGGACGGAGGAGGCAGCAGCGTGTCCGTGTATGAGGGAGAAGTGGTGAGTCGACCAACGTGTATCGACACACCAGTCATCTGTGAGAGACCAGTCACTACTATTACTTGTATGTACTAGACCAGGACTGGACTGGTGACGTAGTGTTTGTATATATATCCTCGTAATGGGCGGCATGCCATTGAATGTAGAACCTTCTTCACCTGTTGTTAATTAATAGAACGAATTCAGCACGTTTTGGCATGCAAGCCTTTGAAAATGACCTTGAAAAGTGCATTATTGAATCTTACAACAAATGAAGAGAGAGAAAAGGCGATCGTGTATAAAGACAGTGTCGTTGTAGAGATGGAAGAGGTGAATTGTGTCGTCGTGAAGGAGAGAGGGGAGAGGGAGGTGGTTGTGCTAGAGACAGAGAGACTGCGATTCTGAAGTGGCTCCTAGTCTTGCCAGCTGCCCTGATATCTCCTTCACCAGAGCCCTGGGGACAGAGAGAGAGAGAGAGGAGAGAGAGAGATGAACCACATCACAAGGTATAAAGACAGGAAGAGACCGAACCTGGTCTTGAGTCTGAGGTGGTCGGGGTGGCCTATGGAGCCCCGCAGCAGCTCCTGAGCCAGGTGAGTGAGGTAGATGACCACCCCCTGGAGAGGTCTGGTTACCGTGGCACCCATCTGCCAGCCACGTGACTGGCAGGCGAGATATGATCTGGTGGAGAGACAGGGGGAAGACAAGGTACATGTGTAATTGAGAGTGAGATCTCACCGCCCCTGTCTTGATGACACTGAGATTGGAACAGGGACAGGTCTGGAGTGACAGTACCAGGTACCTGAACAGAAACATGACATCATCTGACACACAACGAAATGCTCTCTCACTTGTTCAGAAGACCGTCTAGCACCAGTTCCTGCAGAGCGTCCGGAGAAACAAGCCCCTCCCACTCTGTTATGTTGCCTAGCAACTAAACAGAGAAGAAAACATCACAGTTGCAGCCCACAATGAAATTGCATACACAAAACTGGGAAGTGAAGTAGTCGTCTGCATGTGCGACTATGTCCAAACTGTCACTAAATTTCACACTCACACTTTGAATTACCATATTGTAGTATGCATGAACAAATGGTCAGTAGTGTTCACCTTGACACAGCTCCAGAACTGCTGGCTGTAGAAGACTGCGTGAGGTGAGAGAGAGTTCTCGATCTGGGCCCTGGTGTAGAGAGGGATAAACACGTCGTCCTGGGTGGCTCTTCGCAGGCGAGACAGGACGGACGAGAAGAGGGACTGCGTGTTGCGATGCTCGCTGGAGACGGTGGGGTAGTCGGAGGCCAGCTGGCGGAGGAGGGAGGTCAGTTTTCGAGTCTGGCCGGACGAGAGTGGGTCCCACACACTCTGGACCAGAACTAAGGGGAGAGAGGAGATAGAGGCTAACCGTATTGCTATACCCTTGAGGCTGACCAAACTAGGAGCCAGTGTATCTACTAACTGGTGAGTTTGGTGACAATGACTCGGTCCACTAGCTCGGGAAGAAGGCGAGTGTCGGGGTCAGAAAGGTCAGGCTCCTCCCCCTCTCTGAAGCCATAGAACATCAGCACCTCGAACCACTGCATGGCTTCGAAATCAGGACACTCGTCCTGAGAGTGGAGAAAAAAGAATAAATATTATCAGCCATAAACAGTCTTCGACACCGTGCATAAAATAGTCACCAAGTTCTCCACCATTCCCCCTCACCTCCAGAGGGTTCCACTGTAGGAGCTCCAGCCTGGCGAACGGAGCGAGGAGCTGGGGCAGGTACAGGGGGACGTGGGCCTGGGAATAAGAGTCTGGGAACCCAAATTTCCACTCCTCTAGCCTCGTCTTGATGTGGACCACCTGGGAGAAGTCCTCCACCACCTCCCCAAACACCGACTCAGCTCCTGCCAGTGCCTTAGCTGGGGGGGGAGAGAGAGATTCTAGTAACTCAAAAATAGAGTGAAGTTTGGCAAAATAGAAGTTTAAAGTTAAGGCAAATTTTTTTTTCAGTAAGTAGATGATGATGATTTTAATATTGGACTGCTATTTACTCACTCATGTTTTTTTCAAATTTCAGTCGATTCATTTCCAGTAGCTCATCGTCGGTAGACATGCCTTGTCTGTGCTCCCCCTTCTCCCTCCCCACCCCCCTCTCCCTCCTCTCCCTCCTCCTCCTTCTCCTCCCATCCCTCTCTACCGCCCTTCGTTGCCTGGCAACCACCTCCTGAGACCCTGGTACCTGGACAACTGCGTCAACACAAAACACTCGGTAAATTTCGTGCCAAAGTTTTGTCAACAACGAAGTGAAAGCAATGATTTTCTTGGCAAGGGAAGCGAGCAGTTCGATTTTTCGCATGTTTTAGAATCACGTAGAACATTAATGTATGTGCAGTGCCGGTCACACAAGAAAATTCCTGCATTCAGACGACTAGGTAGGCTGACAAAGGGTCAATGTACCGGAGTTGGTTTGGGCGCACTCTCTGTCCTGATCAGTGATGTCTTGCCTCCTCCTCTCCAACAGGAGGTCAGCTCTCTCTTTCCTCACCTTCCTCACCGCTCTCTCCAAACTGGAGATCTGGGGCTCCTGGTATATACACCAACACACAACACCGTAGATAGAGTGGAGAAAAAGAAGAAAAAACTATTAAAGAAGCAACACAATTTTTGGGTGAGCAATACTTAACGTTACATAAATCTAGAATCGCATTAACTTAAAATCTGGAATTGCAGTTAAACTAACTATATTATACACTAGACAGAATATGTACATGAGACGGAGCAAAGTCACATGAAGACACAATCCTCACCTTCTCCCCAAGACAGGAGAGCAAGTCCCGGAGGTAACCCCTCATCTCCTGATAGAACTGGTACCTCACTCCCAGGTCCCCTCGCCGGCTCTCGGCCACGCCCACTTCCTCCCTAGACCCCTCCAAGTCCGCTATGATCTGCCCCAGTCTCTCGCGGTGTCCTGAAACGCTGTCCTGCAGGTCACACAACCGATTCGACAGTCGCGACTTCAGACTCTCCAATGTGATCGGAACCAGTTTTTCGGGGATTCGGAACGAGTTTTTTGTCGTCTTCACCTCACCGCTTCCCCCAGTGGGCGGAGTCTCGGAGGCCACACCCTGAGGGGTGATTCCGGCATATGCCTGCACGGCCTGTACGTAGGATGGAGTCATGTAGGAAGCCCCCAGGTCGCCGTACCCTCCAGTCCCCATCAGAAATGACTGGTCCAGCATCGAGAGGTGAGACGACCCAGGATTGACCGGGGTCAGCTGGTCCGGTGCACTCGCCTTCACTCCCTTCAGAATCTGCTCCTCTTCCCACCGTTTCGTCTCTTCGTCTTCGTCCGATCCCATCTCCTCCAGTCCTTGCAGCACCTGCAGGGGTCACAGAGGTCGTCTCCACGGCGACAGAGTTAGATAAACAATCATCGCCTCACCTGGAATTGTTTTACAGCCGCCATGTCATGTGACCCTGCATCCATTCTTCTTCTTCCTCCATCTTCCCCTCCTGACTCATCACTCTTATCATTGTCATCTTCCCTAACGAGCCGGGACTTCCCCTTTGCCACGGGGACCTTCTTCTTGGAAGTGGAGAGAGCCATAAAGCCCGGAGCCCCACCCCCTCCCCCGCCGTCTCCCATCTGCCGTCTCTCCTCTCTTTCCCTCCTCGCTCGGTGGATGAACTCTGCATTAGGGATGAAACATCCTTCTTTCAGTTGCTGAGAGAGAGACACCAGTGGTCCAGTCCCCTCCTCCTCCTCCTCCTCACTCTCATCCCCACTCCCACCTCCCTCCATCACCTCATCCAGTCTGGGAGAGTGGGAAAAATTAGATACAACGAACAGGTTTTCCCACCGCATTTTTGTACACGTGCACAATGGATTGCACAATTTGTGACAATACTGTCTTACGTCTCTCTCTTTTTCTTGTGTTTTTTCTCTTTCCTATCTTTCCCCGCCATCTTGGCAGCTCTCCGTGACAGAGTTGTCTTCTTCACCCTGAACTCTGGACCCTCGTCCGCCAGCTCATCCTCGAAACTCAGCAGAGACCTCGCCTCCTTCCTACCCTCACAACACACAAATGAGGTTTCTTTCAATGAAGCCCCTCTAATCAGGACACTAATTGGACAGTGTAAAACATCAGCTAGTGATGTGTCCTTCTCTTGAATTGCATACAAGAACTGTTCTTGGGAAAAGAAATAGAGAGGTGTCCTTATTTCATTGGTGTCCATAGAGAGGCGTTCCATATATCTACTAACTAAAACTGTGAGGGCGTACTTTTTTGTCGGCGCTGTTGAGATGTTAGTTTGGCTTGGCGGAGGTCGAGTCTCTCCATTTGTAGCTAGAACGTCGGTAGCCTCGGTCCCTTCCTTCTCTCCCTCCACCCCTTCCTCTTCCAGCTCCACCGCCTTCTTCCTGATGTTACGGCGACCTCGCTTGCTCTTGAACAGACTCATTTCTCTACTTTTTCTCCCTCGCGGTCGAGACTTAGAGTTCTAAATAACGCTCACCATTCGGAGCAGGCTTTCTAATAAGTGCGCACCATTCAGCGCGGAACGGAGACCAGCGTGCAGAACGGGAACGGAAAATTAGCTGAAATGGCGGGAGCAGAAGATGTTTCCCTCCCCGAGCCGTGCAGCGGGGCCGAGAAGGAGGGGGACAAGAGAAAAGTGTGCTTCATTCACTCCCAGGCTCTGCTGGTGTCTTCAGACCTGAACCCCAGATATACAGGCAGGGTGAGAGAGTCACGTGATCCTCAATGGGTATGTCCCACTAATTATTGCCAGTAGGCACAGCTGGTGTATTCACTAATTGAGGCTTATGGGCTGCTGCAGCACATGAGGTATTACACGATCCATTAATGAGGTAATGATTACATATTATTATGGGGTCACAGGGTCGTTGCCCCAGAGAAGGCAACTCAGAAACAGTTGCAAGGCTTCCACAGTCAGGAGTACATACACTTCCTGGAGACGCATAGCAACCAATCAGATTTGGAGGACGAAGACGAGGAAACTGCTGAAGAAATGGGTCTAGGTAATATTTTCAAAAATTCAACCAATTCTTTTACCTTCACTCGACAGGATATGATTGTCCTCTGTTTACTGGTTGCTATGACTATGCCTGTGAAGTGGGTGGGGCTGGGTTGACCTCTGCTGACCTCTTGCTGAGAGAAGAGGCTGAAATTGTTATCAACTGGAGTGGTGATGGCACCACGCAAAAAGGTTGGTCTCCACTAGATTGCACGGAACCACTCGCTCTGTGTGTTGGTAGAGATGTGGCGTCTGGTTACTGCTACTGCAATGACGTGGTCCTGGCTATTCTGAGACTCCAGAGAAGGTTCAGTCGAATACTCTATGTCGACATTGACGTTCACCATGGAGATGGTCTGAAATTGACCCTCTCTCGTTAAGATTTAACCCTTTTCCTCTGGTAGGGGTGGAAGAAGCATTCTGGCACTCGCCGAAAGTCATGACTGTCTCATTCCACCATTTCTCCCCCGGGTTCTACCCAGGTCAGAGGTCAGAGATAGTCTTGACTCCACCCACTGACTCCGCCCACTCCTCCCATAGGCACGGGGGCAGTGGCAGATATTGGCAGGGGTCGGGGGAAATTTCACTCCATCAACGTTCCCCTACACGAGGGGGTCCAGGACCACCAGTACTACTTGGTGTTCAGTGGAGTGATGACTGAGGTGAGAGAGAGGTACCAGCCGCAGTGTCTCCTGCTGCAGTGTGGGGCCGATCTACTGACAGGGGACCCCCTGGGAGAATTTAATCTGACCCCCCGGGGGGCAGGGAGGTGTGTCGAGTTTCTGTTGCAGTGGAGACTACCAACTGTGATGATGGGGGGAGGTTAGTAAGATACATACGTCTAGTGTGGCAGCCTTTGTAATACTTATAGCTATAGCAGAGCAGCTCTTGCCACATCATTTGAAAAATGAGTTTTTGTGTAACAACTATATAATAAGCTTATTCACAGGATTTCGCACGTTCCTGTATTATTTGCCAGTTTGCCAGCAGGTGATGTTGACAAAAGGCTTGTTGCTCTAAGCCTTGTCTCTTCTCTATGTTGATTTACATATACCCCCAGGAGGCTATCACTTCCCCAACACAGCCAGGTTCTGGGCTATGTGTACAGGCCTAGCTCTGGGTCTGTCGCTCCACACTGACGTCCCTGATCACAAGGTATGTGTGTGTGTGTGTGTACACTGAACTCAGTAGTAGGTATAATATATAGTGTTGCCACACTGCTTGCTAAGTTCAATCCACAAAGAACAGTTCACACTTGTAATGCCTGCATGACAGAGAAATTTCAAACGTCTTCTTGCAGTTTTTCTCAGAGTATAGCCCCACCTTTCAGCTGGACGTCACACCTGGTAACCGTGCCGACAAGAACACCGCAGCTTACACTTCCACTCTAGTCCATCAAGTAAAGAATCATCTCTCCAATATCTCTGTGTGATCATTCTGTCATTCTAATGTTGATTGGCTTGACATGGGTAAAAAAAATGGCACAAAATTAATGTCAGTAAGTTCGTACTGCCCTAATGGCATAGTTCACACTGGTGCTGTTTGACCACGCCCACTGAGAAGTGAGAGGGTTAAACCACATTCCTCGAACCCAGTCCACCGCCACTCCCTCCCTCCTCTCCAAGCCTGCCGTCAGCTCCTCTGGAGTTATGAACTGAGTCCAGGAGTGGGTCCCGCGAGGAAGGAGGGGGAGAACGTACTCAGCCCCTGCAATTACTGTCAGAAACGACTGCACAGTTCTGTTGATGGTAGTCAGAATAATGGAGCCTCCTGGCTGGGAGAAGAAATAATGCAACAGATTTCATTGCACATACAGATTCTGGTGTAGTTCACATGTATCTTTCTATACCTTCACGGAAGAGGAAAGGAGGTGGAGGAAGAGAGAGAGATCATCAACATGTTCAGCTACCTCTGACGCCACCACACAATCAAACCCCTCCCTCTCTTCCTCCCTCATCTCTTCCAGAGTCATACAACTATACTCAATCCTTGATGCAAGCTCTGGGTCAAGGTTCAAACGACGCTCCGCCACAGCCAGAACCTCTCTAGAGGGCTCCACACCAATGACCTTGGCACCCAGCTGAGCCAGTGGCTAAAGAGAAAATAAACTTTCTGTCTCCCCTCTCTCTCATCCCCTTCTCTAAACTAACCTCGGTGAGAAAACCAGCTCCACAGCCAACATCAAGAACACTGCACCCCTCCAGAGGTTTGGGGGCGTGGTAGGTGGGCGTGGCTTCAGGAGGGCGCCCCAATAGGGAGTTATAGACCAGAGGAACTCGGATACTGTTCATGGAGCGGAGGACTCGAACCATCACTCCTCCCTCGCCCCACCAGTCCAGCCTTGAGAACTTGTCTCCCTCTCCTGCCTCCGTTGATTTCCATCTCTTCCTTACAGCTGAAAGAGGAGTGCATGTGTACCTGTATCGTACTCTTGACCATATCGCAAAGCTGCAGATACGCTGTCTCATTGGCGAAAAACTCTAAATAATGCGCACCATAATATTCTAATTGGAACGCACCATCTTCTATAATGTCGGCAGAGAGCCTGAAAAAGGTGAAGATACTAGTACTAGGAGACACAGGTGAGCATGTCTCCTCATAGAAAACAAACAAACCGCTCTCCCTTCTCTCGCAGGAGTGGGAAAGACGAGTCTGGTGAACGTATTGTGTCATGGCGACGTACTCACCAACGCAGCGTGGACTGTCGGTTGCTCCGTAGACGTCAAGGTCCATAATTACGACACACACACACACACACACATAACATGTTTATGATTACTTAGTCTCCATTGTATGCACATACAAAGAGACATGTGTCAGTTGTTGGGTAACTGAGTCTGGGATTATTCGTCTGTCACCTTCAGATACACGACTACGGTCGTTCCCTGTCCTCATCCTCCAGCTACTTCCTGGAGTTGTGGGATGTCGGAGGCTCTCCCTCCCACATGGCCGGTCGAGCCGTCTTCTACCAGCAGACTAATGGTGGGTCCTCGATCAGAGTGAGAAGATGTCTCAAACGATATTTATTGCGGCATAGAAAGAGGACAAATTTGATATGTGTTTCCGTGTATCTGCTCCTTCTGTCTGTCTCCCCTCTGTTCTTTCCCCTCTCTGTACCTGATTGTACATCAACACCCACATTGACAGCGACCTAACTACACAGACTTTGTTCTCACACACCCAAAAATTGGAGTTAGCAGCTAGGTGCAGTAAAGGAAAAAGAAAAGGCTGTAAAAGTTACATTGGAGGACATTTTTGTTAAATTCTCTTTCTCCACTACTTCAATCTCTATCTCTATTATATTATAATTATCTCTCACTGGGTCCAGGAATCATCCTAGTTCACGACCTGACAAACAGAAAGTCTCACGGAAACCTCAGCAGGTGGCTGTCCGACAGTCAGTCCCGAGGCCAGTCCAGTCGCTCCTCGAGATCTCTACACTCGTTTGACTCCAGAATGTGAGGGTCCTCCCCCTCTTCCACCGCCGTTATCATACCACGTCTCCGTTCCGTTCCATAGTGACATGGAATACGACCCGGAGAGCTACGTGGACCAGACCCTTCCTCTACTGGTGGTGGGCACTAAATTGGATCAGCTCCCTGGAGACAAGACTCCGCCCACCACCAACCTCCCTGGTGCGGTGTCTATCAACGTCAACTGTACGGACTCCAGACTGTTCTCCATTGGATCAACTGAGACCATTCAGTTCAACAAATTCTTTGACAAGGTTTTCTGTTAGATAATATGCTCCCAGTATTAGTCAAAGTTAATGTTACGTCCTCTTTATAGTAAAAACTGGTTGGTGTGTGTTTTATTCCACTCACATGCAAATTGGTGTGATTTCCCCTAACTCTCTAAATTTTAGTCTTTTCTCCACCCAGTGCGGAATTTTATCAATGAAATTCTGTCAATTTCTTCTTTCCCCAGGTGATAGAGAAAAGATACCACAGTTCATTTCACGCGGTCAGTATGAAAATGGCACGTTACTAGAGTTACGGTCACGTAGCTCCCTCTCTCTCCAGTAGGCGGGGCCTCCATCTGGTGAGAGACTCCGCCCATCCATCCGACGAACTACTTCTCTTCCATCAGCTCAGTAGATCGTATTTCTCTTCCTCTCTCTCTCTCTCCTTCCTTTCTCCCTTCTTCCCTTATGATAATGTTATTTGAAGTACCCCCAGACGTGTTGTTGGACATGCTGTAGATGGTGCTAGACTTGACATTGATCACAGGGGAATGCGTGTGTTGGGTAACCCCTGCCTCTATCGCAGTACACAGTTACCAAGTGAGGGAAGTGGTTGGTTAGAGTAAAGGCCTCGACTTGGCACTAGCACTGTGACTGCAGTACTGTAGCGAGCCTTATGTGTGCTGTGATTGCTGTCCGCCTTTACTGTGTGCCAGATCCAAGCTTACGCGCCGCGCCGCGTATTGAGGATGCAATTTCGCGGAAAGTATAAAAGCCGTCGAAAGAGGATCCTGCGAGATGTTTTCTGCTTCGGGACAGCGTACAGGCGATGGCTTTAGTGCATTTCGCAGTGTTTGTTGCAGCTCTAATGGCGGCCTGCCTGCCTCCCCCTGTCCGGCCGTGCGACGGCAATTTTCAGACGCCGTCAGCGGGCGAGAAGTGTACGAACGTCTCCACGGAGCCGTTCTGCGGCCATTTCTACCAAGAGTCGTTCTTCCCCAACGACATCGCTACCACCTCCGAGATTGCAACCAGTTGGGTCGCATTCTACCTCCAGAGTAACCAGACCTGCTCTCCCTATCTCTCTCTCTACGTCTGTCTCGCCGTCCTCCCCGTCTGCGAGCGAGCTAATTCGTCGGACGGCAGAGCGAATTCGAGTCGAGTCCGGCTCCCCTGTAGAGATATCTGCCAGCGGGTCCAGTCCGACTGCAGCAGGGAGAAAGGGTTCAAGAGTACTCTTGATGTACAGTGTGTCTATAATTGCGACCTCTGGCCTGACACCGACTGCGTGAGTCTCCAAGACCCGCTGGTCGCTGCTCACGTGACCCCTCTCGATCCGACCCCCTCGAGTCTTCCGGAAGCGACCCCACAAACCACATCCCTTCAGGACAATGACACGTGTCCGCCAGTCGATCAGGTTTTCTTCAGCGACGAATCAAAAACGTTTGCGAAAGGTTGGATCAGTTTTTGGTCTGTCATCTGCTACCTCTCAACCCTCGTGACCTTACTGACCTTTCTCCTAGACACCTCTCGTTTCCAGTATCCATGGCGACCGGTCGTGTACCTCGCCCTCTCTTTCCACATCCACACACTCGGCTATTTCCTGGCACTCATCATCGGCCCCAGCAGCGTCACCTGCCCGGGAGGAACCTACGTTCAAACTGACAGCAAATGGACGTGGGTCCACACTCCCTGCATCCTTGTCTTTGGTCTCCTCTATTACTCCATGATAGCAGCCTTTCTGTGGTGGCTCATCCTCACCCTCTCCTGGTTCCTCTCCTCTGCGTACAAATGGACAAACGAAGCAATCAGTCAGTTCTCCCTGTTCTATCACACAGCTGCCTGGGTCATTCCTCTTATACTGACAATTAGTGTGTTAGCGGCCAGGGTCGTCTCGGCTGACGAGCTCACCGGCACCTGTTTCATTGTCAGGACAAACACGAGGACGTCATTTTTGGCCATGTTGTTTGGACTAATTCTCCCCCTCTCTGTGCTACTCCTGGTCGGCTCCACTTTTCTGACAATCGGTCTTCTCTCTGTTCTTCAAATAAGGAAATTCATGGTGAACCGAGGCAGGGAGAGAGAGAGCATTATACTAGAGAAACTAATGCTGAGGATCGGTGTCTATGTCGCAATATACGTTCTCCCAGCGGCCGTTCTGATTGGCTGTTTCATATACGAACTGGACACTCGCCCGCGATGGCACACCACCAGTGATCCCTGCACCGACTGCAGTAGACCCAACACTGCCGTGTTCATGGTGAGGATCTTCATGTTCCTGCTCATCGGGGCTCTGACAGGGGCCTGGATCTGGTCCAGAAAGACGCTCCAATCTTGGAGAAGATTACCAACAAAACTCCAGAACTGCATCCTTCCCCCGACCTCCGAGAGAACACAAGATTCGGAAAAGGCGGCGACTCGACTCGGCAGTTTTACCTCCCCTTCTCAGCCTCATCCTTCTGTCAGGGCTACTCCTTCTTACCCTTATACCATAGACTCTGCGACTGAATTCAGTGCCTAACACTCACTTCCATCATCTTCTCTCTGTCTCTCTCTGCCCCTCTCCTGCAACACTTCACTGTTTGTTTAGCTCTGTCATTATCGTCATGGTTCCCTCATTCCTTTGTCTTTGAAGTCGGTTCCCCAAAACCCTTTCATGTGTGTACACTTTTCCCTCTGCCACACTTGTAACAACGAAACTGTATATATTTCTGTTTGCTCGCTGTTGACAAGAGCTACAGACGCTACTAGCAGCCCACGATGTGTGGGAAAACCACGAGGGACATGAGAACGGGGCAACCCTTTAAAAGTAGCTTCTCATTTCACACTGTCAGCAGCAGAGTCTGTGTGTGACAACATTGGGTAATCCTGATCACAGGCTGGCATGCTACACCACACATCATCAAAGACTCTATTTTAGAATACAGAGACATGCAAGCAACCCGATTAGCAGAGCCTAATTACAGAGCATCTCTCATAAAGCCCTTCCCCATATCATCAGTGTAACTGCTCATTTCTGAGATGGCATGCATCTTGGCATATCATCAGTTGCACCATTATCTACACCATTTCCCCTTCCTTCCTGCTCTGGTAGTAGTTCTGAACTAGGAAGGCAGGCAGGCAGCAGTTCCCACACACACATACAGGATATGGCCATGTGTGTGTGAACTGGGCACACCAAAGGACAGCCAAAGTCTTCCTTCAGTCAACATAGTGTGTGAGGTGGCATCTAGCCTCTGTCTTTGATGTGGCACTACACATCCACAAACTCTCCCTTTGATCTGTCATACTATAATATAGCCACAAACTCTCTCTTTGATTACTATATTATTATAGGACCCTGGAGATAGCATTGGGTGCATATATACAGTATCCATATGATATGGGGCATGAAGTGAAAGAGTTCAGACTGTGCAGTGGCTAGCTACTGCACTGTCTTTAGTCTCTTTTTCTTTTGGATCTTCTGTAATCTCGAGGATATGTCTGCAAATAGAGGGGTTCCTGTGGTCTCCACTCCATCCCGTACGGAACGGAGCCCGGCCAGATTAAACCCATACAAGTCCTGTGGTAGAGGAGAGAGAGAGAGAGAGAATGCAGAGTTAGCAACAATCCTTTGATGGGTATTGATGCTGACAACTGTTTATGGCAACACAGAGAGGCCTGAGAAGGAGGAATTTGGATTCAAAGCGATGCTAAACTGACAGCCACTTCATCAGTGATGGAGGGAGTGGGGCAGGCCAGTGTGGACTGGGAGGTGTTGGCATAAGGAGTCGAGGTGTCGGCAAACACACGGAATAGAGAGAGCAGTGGGCCCATTCTGACACACAACTCATCACTCTTACAGTGGAACATCTCTCTCTCTCTCTGAAAGGACACCTCAACAAAGACACACTGCTATATATAGTGTATATACAGCCTCTGAATAAAGGACACTTCTGCATAAATGACAGATATGGTTCCAGCAGTGTGCTCTATTTAGAGGCTTCACTATAGAGTGAAGCCTCTAAATGAGGGATTCCTTGAGGTTATTGAAAGTGTCATATATTGAGAGGTGCTCCTTTACAGAGAGGCATGCTTGACTTAAAGGGCCTCTTCATCAGGAGGTATCACTAAGATGAGAGGGACACATGAGATGAGAGGAGGCGATATCACCAAGATGAGAGGGGCACATGAGATGAGAGGAGGCGATATCACTAAGATGAGAGGGGCACATGAGATGAGAGGAGGCGATATCACTAAGATGAGAGGGACACATGAGATGAGAGGAGGCGATATCACTAAGATGAGAGGGACACATGAGATGAGAGGAGGCGATATCACTAAGATGAGAGGGGGGCACATGAGATGAGAGGAGGTGGTCAGGTGTGGGGAAATGTCTTACTTACTCTGAGGCTCTCTACACTGTGCCTGGTGTGATGTCTTAGAGAGTCCATCACTGGGAGGAGGAGAGGACTGGTCACAATCTGATGGTGGTGGACCCTAGTGGGGGAGAGGGAGGGGGCATTAATTAGAGTAAAGGGGTTCGGTGAGAGTTACCTGAGAAGGAAGAGAAGACAGCGACAGGCCAGCTCTGTCTCCCAGCCATTCTGTGTGAAGACCATACACTCTATATACCACAACTGGTGTGTGGGAGAAAGGGGAGTTACCTCCAGCCAGTGGCAGAGAAGAGGAACGAACTCAGTCACGTCAGAGAACGGCATTACCAGCAGAGCCTCATCCAATTCACTGTCAGGAGAGAGATAAGAGGTGACTCATCAGCACACTGCCCACACTGCAACACTTCTATCTTATTGTGTTGCTTTTATCTCCAGAAAATCTGGTGCAGCTCTTCAACCAATGAAACTTGGTACATTATAAAGTATAAACCATTGACTGATTTCGTACCTTGATCTTATCCTCTTGGCAACCATCAGTACATATCTCTCGGCCTATCATGACAATACACATTTAGTTGGAACGCAATTCATGGACGAAAAACCCATACTGTGATGTCTCCCATGGCAACCAGGAGTGGGTGTGGTTTTGGCCGAGAAACCTCTCTCCGTTCCAACTGACTCTCTTCCTCCCACTCCTGACCTTTAACCTTCTCCTCCCTGTACACTGCCAATGCCTCCATCAGTTGCTCTGCCTGTCGGGGAAACACCTCATCATGTGATAGTCATGTGACAGTCACTCACAGATCTCATGGTCTCCATCGTCTTCCTGCCGGCCTTCAACACCTCTCCCCCTCCTTCCTCCCCTGGCAACTGACATATTCAGAGAGAGAGCAATGTTGTAATGACAACAGAATATGAGAGAAAATTTTGTAAAAAATCACAAGAGGTTTTAACACTTAACAGTCCAGAAAAACTTAACATTCCTTCTTATTTGGCTAATACGTTAGTATGAGGCAGAACCAAGTGTCTTATTAAGTGGAGATTTCTTTCTTCGGAGGTTCCACTGTAGTAGACGATAACTTACAGCAGTCTCTTCTCCTTCAGCCACCGCCTCTTCAAACTGTGCCTCTCTCTCCTAGCAACAGAGGAAGGATAAGAGAGAGAGAGAGAGAGAGAGAGAGAGGGGTTAAATGTACAACTATTTCTGTCCCATTGGTGAAGGTGAGACGAAACCAACCTTTTCTCTCTCCTCAGACAGAATGAGAGGTTCATCTGTCCTCTCCCACAGTCTCAGAGAGTGGTCATGTGACCCCGTCACCTGAGTATCACATGACATTCCATTAGATCATCATCAATGTAAGCCAGTTACCTAGACAACCAGACCAGTGGGTGTGGTCTGGTGTCTCAAACACTGGATAGTACTAATGTAGCAAGCTTCAAGATAGCAGTGAGAACAGACCTCTCTCTGCATGCTGGTTAGCTTGCAACTGCATCGGCCTTATTTGGTGAACTCATACATTTGTGGCTGGCAAATACAACTGGATAAAATTAATTTTCAACGCATATTTAGAATCATGTTTGTGCATAAGTTCTGCACAGACAACGCTCCCTTTGCCTGCCAATTAATCCCTTGACAGGTGAGAGTTACAGCATTATTTTGTCTGTCTGTCTGTCTGCTACCATGTTTTCTGATGTAATGCTAAACAAGGCTTACAGATACTCACCACTGTATTGCCGTCTCTGCTGACAGCCAGACACCACACCTCTCCACAGTGCCCCTGGGGATATTAAAACTGAAACCACCGCTGCTAATTAGATCACTAACTCCAGGGGTACCTCAAGAGTCATTATAAGATCAAAGGAATCTGCATCCCAAAATTTCACCACACGATCTTTGCCACACGAGAACAGGAGATGTGTGTCAGGAACAAACTGGGGTATTGACATCACTTAACACGAGTTGATACGACTCAACGCACCTTGACACCCATTATGCTATCGTCGTGAGCAAACAGAGATTTGTGACAATCGCCAAAATCGAGACCCCAGATCCTAATGTTCTTGTCTGAAGAACACGTTGCTAGCAGAGTGCTGTCCTGGATTACATCACAGGTAACAGCACTATAAATACACACGGTGTTCTAAAAATAGAATAGGAACTCACTGATGTAATGTCCATAGAGAGAACTGGTAGCTTGTGGCCATAGAGAGAGAGGGAAAACTGCAGTGAGGGACAAGAAAGAGAACAAGTTTTCCACAAAAATCTGGGTGTACTACGAACCTTGAGAGAGTCGGTGAAGAAGATCTTGACGGTGGAGTCCAGCAGAGCCACAGCCAGTAGCCTCCCGTTCGGGGAGTGACAGACACACAACACTTCCTCCGCCATTTTGAGAGTCCTCACGTGGCTCAGCGACAGTCTCCGTCTGCATGGTGACAACAGTGACATCATAGGCTACGAGAATGACATCATCACTGTTGTGAGGCGGGGTCAGAGATGAGTTCGAAATCCCAGAACTTGACGTCGTGGTCAGCGCTGCCAGTCACCAGTCCACGTCGGTCCGGGCTCACGTCCACGCTCCATACCGCACCGGAATGAGCCCCCGCCTCCTGGAGCAAGTCACCCGACCCCACCTCATACAGCTGCACCTGCCCAGTCTGTGAACCGCATTCCAATGATGTAATGACGATGTCATAAAACACATCGTACCTTGGTCCCCACGACGATGTGTCGGTCTCCGGGTACAAAGGTGAGAGAGAGAACATGGCCAGACTCCATCGTATGCAGACAGTTACGAGACGACCTGCGTTCCACCAAAAATTCAAGTACCACAGAAATATGAGTCTCGAAATGCGGATATTGTTTCCGTGAAATAAAAACGTTTGTTCTTATATACCTGCTCCATATCTTGATGCTATTGGCAGAGCCAGAGGCAATTGCTCTATCATCACCACTGAAACATACTGCTCTACAGCGGTGTGTGAGTGTGAAAGGGGGGGAGGATGAAATATTTGAGAGATCTAACTTTATGTTGTTACCTGACGTCAGTGCGGTGGCTTGGAGCAGTAATGCTGTGCAGGAGGGTGTGCCCAGGGGATGTGGTCTCCATGTCCAGCATGTGAACCTGAATGCTGTTGCTATGGAGACCGAGAGCCACCATCATTTGGTTCAAAGGTCGCGACTGGATGTCAAACGATCTGAAAATGTAAACCTTCAACACTCACATTTATAATGAAAAGC